AATGGTGGATGGCTTAAGACAGTGGCATGGAGGAATATCTTCAGTGGAATTGATCCAGAACACCAAAGACTGAGATCTGTGGAGATGCATGAGTGCCTACACCAGTTGGCAAGGCACGTGATGATGATGATTATAAAAGAAGAATGTAATGGATTTACTCGTGTGGCATCTTAAAACATGCAGAAAAGTTTAGCTTTATGTGACCTTGCGTTAACTGACATAACTGTCGCAACAGGGGTTCACAACACCCAGGGGAGATTATTCAGCCCTTCTTGTTCGGTGAAAACATCATTATCAGACACGTGTACCTTGACATGCAGCATTTGTTTCCACAACTTGAAAACGGAGTAAACGAGGGAGAGTAAATGCCTCCTCATGTCAGCAGCACTGTCTGTGAAGTCCTAAATAAAAGGTTTCGGAATGCCTGCGTTGGGAGGGGTGGACCAATACCTTGGCCTCCCCAAAGCCCAGACCTAACAGCACTATTCTATCATATGTGGGTATAGGTTTAAAACACTGTGAAGATAACGCAAAATAAGCACCTTACAGAGAAGGTCCCTGCAGAAATTGCCATTGTTAATTCTGGACACAATTCAGAAGACACGGCTGGAGTCTGAATACCATCTAGACGTGACCAAAACTACACAAGGCCACCATTTCAAAGTGAACTCAAGTCAGTCTAAAACTTTAAACAGTGATCTCTAATCTTATTCAGGTCGTTCACCCCTCTCCCCCCACACCTCCCCAGAGTACATGACAAGACCCCCCCTCCCTTTCCCACACCTCCCCTGAGTATATGGCAATTTTCCTATGCCTCCCCTCCCTCCTTGAGTATATGGCAAGAACCCCATGCCTCCCCTCCCTCCTTGAGTATATGGCAAGTTTCCCATGCCTCCCCTCCCTCCTTGAGTATATGGCAAGTTTCCCATGCCTCCCCTCCCTCCTTGAGTATATGGCAAGAACCCCATGCCTCCCCTCCCTCCTTGAGTATATGGCAAGACCAAAATGCTCCCCTTCCCCTTAAGTATATTTACTACATGGCAAGACCCCCATGCTCCTCTTCCCCTTAAGTATATTTACTATATGGCAAGACCCCCATGCCTCCCCTACCCCTTAAGTATATTTACTTTATGGCAAGACCCCCATGCCTCCCCTACCCCTTAAGTATATTTACTATATGGCAAGACCCCCATGCCTCCCCTACCCCTTAAGTATATTTACTTTATGGCAAGACCCCCATGCCTCCACTTCCCCCTTAAGAATATTTACTATATGGCAAGACCCCCATGCCTCCACTTCCTCCTTAAGTATATTTACTTTGTGGCAAGACCCCCCATGCCTCCCCTCCTCCTTAAGTATATTTACTATATGGCAAGACCACCATGCCTCCACTTCCTCCTTAGGTATATTTACTTTATGGCAAGGCCCCCATACTCCCCTGCCCACTCCGTACATAATAAAATATGATCACAAAACAGGAGGCATGTGTTCCTAATCTATAATTAAATGCAGGTGTCATCACAAAAATGTCCTTGGACTTTCGTTTTATTTATAGTTTTAAAGTAAGATTTATAAATAATTTTTGGGGGGGGGGTTTAAACTGTTAATGTAAGGAATTTTACAATTACAAGTTAATTCAATTTCAAAAATTGCTTGATGCCTCCTGCCGAACTTCCTCATGCTCCCGCCAGGTTGGAGACCACTGCTTGAAAACTGTCTTAGCATTTTGGGTTGCTTGTGTGTATATCTATAAATTCTTCTTATATAACAAGTTTACAACCCCAGGAATCATTCTTGATAATCACGTAAAATAGTAAAATGTAAAGGACTCTGTTCCACGCCTTTCAGGCATCTGGGCAAATAGGGCTACACTTTATAGACTAATGGTACTTCTCAGGTGAGGTGGTCAGCATCACGCCGGCCGCCTTTACTTCCCAGGACTGTACCTGGTACCCACTCAAGGCTGGATCAACTTGGGAGCCAAAGTTATTTTTTTTTTAAAAGTCCGGCTCCCATCAGGTGAGGTGGTCAGCATCACGCCGGCCACCTTTACTTCCCAGGACTGTACCTGGTACCCACTCAAGGCTGGATCAATTTGGGAGCCAAAGTCATTTTTTTTTTTTTAAAGTCGGCCCCCGTCAGGAACCATACATGTAAAATAGAAGTTACATAAAATCACTGTTTTCCCAGTGAAATGTGTCGGCAAGCGGCTCGACAATAGACTTTGTTGCCAAACGTGAAAGTATTTGTGTCTGTCTCCTTTTATCGCGTAAACACTGCAGGAATCTTTTTCATCACGCTTGGTGGTGTGCAATGCTAAGCCACTTTATATGGCACACATAACCAAGTCACAATTATAACCTAAAGCTCCCCCTTCGGGGATGCTGGTTTCAGTAAAGCATCCGCCTACCAGGGAACAGCACCAGAGGCATACAGTCAACTTTCAGGCAGTATCAAAGAAGCCATGCACACGCTATTTACAAAAACGGAATGACATTTTATCAAATGTGTTTGCCAAACAGCTTAAATAAGCAGTGTTAAAATAATTCACAGTAGCATCATGAACATTAACTTATGAGATTTAAGAAGGACTAGTTAGTACAGTAGTATCTGAAAATGTAACTATTGTTATTTTGTTCTTTTATCTCCGGTGGAACATAGGCCCTCAAACAAGCCAGGCTAAGTCATCTGATTCTTTGCTATCGCATGTAGCTCACACCACGTCCTCGTAATGCAGTTGTTTTTTTTTCACTTCACTCTCAAGTTCCCTACTCTGTGTGTGTGTGTGTGTGATTTGGGGAGAGGGGGTGGGTTCTTCCTTTGACCCCGTGGGTTCCCATCCAAGACATTCAAGTTATTTTTCTATCAAGTCACACACATTTTTCTCGCAAATTCCATGTAGGTTTGAGCATTTTGTAAAAAGGTGTCTAATCAAAAGTGTTTCCTTAAAAGTCAGAGTGTATTTGCCTGGGAGGTGAGGAACCAACAGTCTGCATAATGTGTAAATCAACCAGATCTTTAAACTGGGTATACACACAAAAATCAAGTCCTGGAGAACTGAAGTAAAACAAGCAGAACTTTTCTGTCTGAGTCAATGAAGAAGTAGAAGTTAAAAAACAGTAATACGATTAGCATGCTTCCTTGCCAGACTGTTGATTTTATTTTCAAAACTCATTTAAAGTGGGCCCTTCATTAATGATCTGGGTTCCCAGGTAGTTCTTTTATTTTAGTTCACCCAATCTCAGCGACTCTAAGATTTTGTGGAGAGTTCCTGGAAAAGTCCAATATTATGTGTCAGGGGTAAGGGTTAGTGTTCATTTCACCCTCTCACACCCCTTTACTACTGGACTTTCCAGGTAAGTTCCAACAAAATCATGGATCCTCTAAGATAGGGTAATTTTAAAAACAGGCAGTCTACCAGGTTAACCCAACATAAAATGAAATATTCTAAGATGTAAAGGTGGTCACCGTTCCCCCCCCCCCCCCCCCCCCCCTTCCTCCTCTTCTTGTTCCAGGCACCAAGAGAAGAGATATCATAATCAACTCTTAATGGGAACAGTGAGATAAGGTACTTGGGGATGGCTGATGCACTGAAAGCCTGAGCACACGGGAAAGCCTTAGCATACAGGGAAAGCCTGAGCATACGGGGAAAGCCTGAGCATACAGGGAAAGCCTGGGCATACATGGAAAGCCTGAGCATACGGGGAAAGCCTGAGCATATGGGGGGAATGCACAATGACCAGTGATAACATGATATATTTTTAAAACACTTTACCATCCAAAAGAAGAAGGTAATGGACTTTCCAACATGATTTCCGGGACCCCATTTGCGAAGTAACAGGGGAGGATTAAACCCACGCCCCTCCCACCCCAAATCCAAACAAGCATGTCATAAGAGGCAACTAATAAACATTTGCTGAAATCAGATGTGCTGAGCCAAAAGGTGCAGATATCACAGCTTAGCTGTAAACCCCCACACAATGTGCCAACCAGAATTTTGAGGGAGAACAAACAAGAAGAAAAGTTTAAAACAAAAAACATACACACAAACACAAAACTATACACACTTTAATGGATATCATTTAGGATTATACTGAAAGTTCCATTGAATTACGGTAGCAATCTAATCACATGATCCAGGAAAATATGTAGTGGGCAGAAAGGCTTTCCAGCGAGACTTGACGACAACAAGATTCTGTAAGGGACCTGCCACCCACTGTTGTCTTCAAAACAGATAAACAGTGCTTCCATTTTTGCTGTATAGGCGGGGAAGAGAGGGGGTCTTTGAGGATTTATGACCACTTAGCTAATGCAGCTGCCACAGACTTTGCAGGTTGGGATTGTATTTTTTGCCTTTGCCCCCTGACAAACGGAAAAAATATAGCCCTACGGAGGATTTAAACCTAGGTTTCCCACATGAGAGCCCAGCATTCTTAACCGTTCAGTCAGCAACTCCTGTGTGTGTGTAACATCAATCAAGTCACACACACACACAAAAGTGGTGGCTGTAGCTAAAGGCCATGGTCCTTCTCCTGTTACATCTCTATGACACACCCCTCGACTCCATATTCACATGCTCCTGTTAGTTCCGCCACAAGAACTGGCCCAGTTCACCAATTCATTTGAAAAACAAAAACACATTCCAATATTTCACTCAAGAAATCTCGGCCTTAAACGCAGTATAAAAGTTAGTAGTTCATTTTAAAAATCACCGTCCAATTTCTCCAACTCTTAAAGTCAGAATCGTTAGCTTCTCTGAATGAGAAAGTTCAACAACCATCACATGTTCCATTTTTGAGCACAATAATCAGTAAATAAATTACTCGTGGTGGTATGGCTAGATGTCACTGCCCACATCGTTTGGTACGAATGTATGAGAGTAGGCCAACATCCCGATCAGTCTGTTAGCAGTATCAAATTGGATAAACCATGCAGGAGTCTTGCCATGAGGGGGTTCCCCAAACTAGCATCGGTTAGTGACCGTGCTAGTTAACTGACCATCATGATAGCTGCTGTTGGCCCACTCCGTGCTGTTCACTGGACACTTCAACTCCATGTAGCACTTCAGTGATTTCTGTCTTGACATTTCCTACCTGTGCCATCGCAACCTGCCAAACAGAAACAAAGGACTTCAAAACCAAAACTTTACACAGCAAACACAACAGTGGTCTCTAAGCTGGGTGGTGGGGGGGGGGGGGGGGGAGGGTGGCATGAGGAAGTTTCAAGGGAGGCATTAAGTAATTTTGAAACTGAGTGTATTTGTACTTGTAATATGCAAGAACACAACAGCTAGGTTCGAAAATCCACAAAGGAAAGACAAAGAATATGAGAATAAATCAGACAAATAGTAATGTGGTTTCTCTTAATGGCACCCCACTCCAAGACATGGAGACCAAAACTTATTTGGGCAGTAATGTAGATAAAGATGGGGGGAACTGATAGAGATGCTAAAATATGAATACAAAAAAGCAAGAGGAGCTTTCATAGTACTAGAGAATTTGTCGAGGTCAAAAGAAATTAAAACTAATACTAAACTAAAACATTTTTTATTCTAATGTCAAATCAGAACTGTTGTACGGAGCAGAAACATGGAGAAGAACTAAGGCAATTACTAATAAACTACAATGTGTCATTAACTGGTGCCTGCACAGAGTAGTGAGAATTAAAATGGTATGACAGAATCACTAATTTAGAGCTTTGGGAAAGAACTAAACAAGTTCCAGTGAGAATTAAAATGGTATGACAGAATCACTAATGTGGAGCTTTGGAAGAGAACTAAACAAGTTCCAGTGAGAATTAAAATGGTATGACAGAATCACTAATGTGGAGCTTTGGGAGAGAACTAAACAAGTTCCAGTGAGAATTAAAATAGTATGACAGAATCACTAATTTAGAGCTTTGGGAGAGAACTAAACAAGTTCCAGTGAGAATTAAAATGGTATGACAGAATCACTAATGTGGAGCTTTGGGAGAGAACTAAACAAGTTCCAGTGAGAATTAAAATGGTATGACAGAATCACTAATGTGGAGCTTTGGGAGAGAACTAAACAAGTTCCAGTGAGAATTAAAATAGTATGACAGAATCACTAATTTAGAGCTTTGGGAGAGAACTAAACAAGTTCCAGTGAGAATTAAAATGGTATGACAGAATCACTAATGTGGAGCTTTGGGAGAGAACTAAACAAGTTCCAGTGAGAATTAAAATGGTATGACAGAATCACTAATGTGGAGCTTTGGGAGAGAACTAAACAAGTTCCAGTGAGAATTAAAATGGTATGACAGAATCACTAATGTGGAGCTTTGGGAGAGAACTAAACAAGTTCCAGTGGACCAATAGACGAAGAAAAGATGCTGGCGTTGGATAGGGCACACGCTGAGAAAACCTGAGAACAATATAACTAAATGTCTTTTCACTGGAACTCACAGGGGACATAGGAATAAAGGAAGACCAAAAAACACATGGAGAGGGGAGCTAGAGAGTGAAGTTAAACCGATGGGGAGGACATGGGAAGAGCTGCTTGCGATAGCGAAGGATAGAATGACTCGGTTTCAGTTGGTTGAGGACCTATGCTACATTAAGGGAGTTAGAATAGCAGAAGAAGAAGAATTGTTACAATTATGTTATTAACAATAATTATTTCATTTCACTACAAATATACTGACTAATTTATGAAAAATCTTAGATTATAATTTACCGCAATCTAATTAGAGCAATTAAGCTGTTAACGATCTGCAAAAACATAATTATTTCATTCAATTAGTAAATACACAGTTAGCCTATTAACAAGATTTCAAATCTAGGCATATGCATACGGATTTAATTATTAACAATCTTGTTTAAAAGATTATGATTTCAATACACTTAAACAGAATTTACTTTGGATCTTATAAGTAGCCATAGCAGCATTGTGGTTAGACACATGCCTACCAGCTCAAAAGCCTTAGGTTTGAATCCACATCATCCCCCGTGTGGGTTTCGGGGCCCCATTGTGGGGAAAAACAAGAATAGACCCACTGCCTTCCCAACAAGCATGTCATAAGGAGCCATTAATTGGGGGCTTCCTTTAAAGTCGGAGTGCATCTGTCTGAAAGGCAAGGAACCAACAATCTGCATACAAATAAACAAGATCTGTAAAACGGATGCACACGCCAAACTCAGGTTCTTTAAAAAAAGCTGAAGTCCAAAAATGGATGAACAGCCAGGTCTTTTCACTGGGGTTTACAGCCGGTGAACGCAAACAACAAAAATAATCCACATCATAGCAATATATATATATTTTCATTCAAAACAAAAAACCTAGGTGCCAGGTGGACCAAACCTCACTTAGGGTATCAAGAAACAAAATGTCCTGGGAAGTACATGAGGTGCTCTGCTGCTGACCACATCGTCCATCTAGTTTCGATTAGTGTACACAAATATAGACCTAGCACCATATGCCTATGTCTCAATGGCATTGCTTTACCTTCTATACTATATCCTGTAGACCATGCTATTCAAGTGGTGGCCAGCGGGCCAAATCTGGTCCAGAGGCCCAGCAAGAGGCCTGCGGAACATTGCCAACTGTATTGTATTAATGATCTCTCTATGCTGGGGCTCATAAGGATTACCATTCTACATTTTGGTCCCTGAGTTAACTACATTGAATAGCCCTGCTATAGACCGATCAAGTAATTTAAAGACTGCATTCTTTTTATCTATAAAAGTTACTTGTGTATACTTTACAGGACGTTGCAGAACCAACCCCAGCAGTTGGTGACTGTTTTGGTTTTACTAGGGAATGTTTGTTTTTTCAGCAGTTTGCCACTGCTTACTGAAAGATCGGCTCTTGATACCCCTGTCAAAATCAACACAAGGCGGTCTGTTACCAAATTACCTGCAGCTAGAACTGAACTGGGCAGCTCGGAATTATACAGCATGTTCGCAACACTTAAGACTCCGGACACAGACATTTACATGTACCAATTAGGTAATTAACAATCTTTAACAAGACGATGTTTTCATTCTGTCAGTCATCACCTGTTGTATTGTGGCTTGAGCTGCCTCAGGTAATGCTAAACCTGTCATCTGCTGGTACATGGAGGCTGGAATGGTCACAATACCTGAAGGACAAACACAAATCACTGGCATAAGATTAATCCAACAGCTGCTCTCGCCACCATTTTTGGCAACATAAATCTGGCAAGAAATGTTCAAACTATTTTAACATCACTGGCATAAGATTAATCCAACAGCTGCTCTCGCCACTATTTTTGGCAACATAAATCTGGCAAGAAATGTTCAAACTATTTTAACATCACTGGCATAAGATTAATCCAACAGCTGCCCTCGCCACTATTTTTGGCAACACAAATCTGACCAGAAATGTTCAAAATGCTGAAACTATTTTACAGACTGTAAAATCATTATCAATTTGCAAGTACTAGAAATTGCGAGTATTCAAGCCTTTAACAAAAAATATCTTTATAAAACTAGGGGTCGACTTATATGGCAGGTATAAAATGTGTTACACAGATACAGGGCCTAATTCAGAATTGGGAGCTAAAAATTGTGTGGTCGACTTGCACACGAGGTCAATGTGTGTGCCTAGTTTACAGTTTTTTTAAAAGTCTTAATCTTTTTGCCCCAAGAAGACACAAGTCTTAATAGCCACAAAATCAACACTTTCAGTCCACGTAAACCCTCTTTTTTAATGTTAAAGTTCCCAGAGCAAGAAGGTTTATGCCATCACTGTCTAAACTGGCATTGAGGCATATTTATTTACATAACTAACCTCGGCTCACCAGTGGACAGAAGGTACCATAAAATGCCATCAAAAGTAAATGCAAACAGTGTGGTGTTTGACAACTTTACTTATCAAGTACCAACCAGTCTATAAAAACTATGGACCTAGCAACATAGTTCCATGATTAGTGTGTGTGTGTTGTCCATCAAGATGATGATGATGACCACTCTTTTTCATCAAGTATGTGTACGAAGATGACTGATATGGCCGATGCAGGCCCAAAAAGTTCTAGGACAGTAGGGACGGGGTATGAGCGTTGTGCCAGGGAGGGGATCTCCTGCAGTCGCCTTTGTGTCCATCCTTTTCTTAATGAGTCTTGCTGTTCTGTTTGCTTCACATGTAGCCGCACGCTTGTGTAGAGCTGCACGACATGCATTTCTGTCTTGAGAGGCAGCCTCCCAGGGTGTCATTCATGCCAAATGCTTTGAGTGAAGACTTTAAGGTGTCCTTAAAGCGTTTCTTTTGCCCGCCTTGAGAATTTTGCAGCTCACCATAGAAGTTTTTTTTGGGGAGCCTGTGATCTGGCATGCGTGCCACATGACCAGCCCAACAAATTTGATACTGCATCAGTAGGGTGTGGATGCTGGGCATGGCTGCTTTCTCAAGGAACCAAATTACCATGATCATTACCATATGCCCAACACACCATTGACTGAAAAGGAGGCTAAACATTGTTCATTGTGCCATTACAGTTAACAGGAGTGCCTGAGTAAACCACTGACAGTGCTAAAGATTGGCTGAGCAGTTAAGGGCTCACAATAGCAAGCCCCAGATCTGAACCCTCGGTAAACACACAAATGTAATCCTTAGCTGCATAATCGTGGTTATCATGCAGCTCTAAATCTCAAACTCAAGAACACTCCCTTTCCCCCCTTTCTACATCGCTATAACAAGTGGTAAATACAACATTAAAGTAATTTTTACTAAAGATGATGTCACAACTTCCATAATCCCTTGCAGCAGGTCGATTTGTGTTCACCTCAGGAACACCTTACCAGTAAGTAAAATCTTGAATATACTAAAGTCTGTCATATCTTCCAGTGGGTTCACCCTAGGAACACCTTACCAGTAAGTAAAATCTTGAATATACTCAAGTCTGTCACATCTTCCAGTGGTTTTACCCCAGAAACACCTTACCAGTAAGTAAAATCTTGAATATACTCAAGTCGTCACATCTTCAGGTGGTTTTACCCCAGAAACACCTTACCAGTAAGTAAAATCTTGAATATATTCAAGTCTGTCATATCTTCCAGTGGTTTCACCTTAGGACAACTTACCAGTAAGTAAAATCTTGAATATACTAAAGTCTGTCACATCTTCCAGTGGTTTCACCCCAGAAACACCTTAACCAGTAAGTAAAATCTTGAATATACTAAAGTCTGTCACATCTTCCAGTGGTTTCACCCCAGAAACACCTTAACCAGTAAGTAAAATCTTGAATATACTAAAGTCTGTCACATCTTCCAGTGGTTTCACCCCAGAAACACCTTACCAGTAAGTAAACCAATGTATATATTAAAGTCTATGTCACATCTTCCAGTGGTTTCACCCCAGAAACACCTTACCAGTAAGTAAACCAATGTATATATTAAAGTCTATGTCACATCTTCCAGTGGTTTTACCCCAGAAACACCTTACCAATAAGTAAACCAATGAATATACTAAAGTCTGTCACATCTTCCAGTGGTTTTACCCCAGAAACACCTTACCAGTAAGTAAACCAATGAATATACTAAAGTCTATGTCACATCTTCCATTCAAGGACCACTCTGCACGTAAGTAAACAATTTCCCCATGTGGGTTCCTGGGCCCTGTTATAGGGAAAACAAGAATAGACCCACTGCCTACCTAAAACATGTCGTAAAAGTCGACTATTTGGGAGCTTCCTTCAAAGACAGAAAGGCAAGACACCAACAGTGTGCACACAAAAATGAGCCAGAATTGTCAAATGGATGCATACTCAACACTCAGGTTCTAGAACAGGACTGCAGTCCAGAAGTGGAAGAACAGCCAGAACTTTCCACCAGAGATTACAGCTGGCGAACGCAAAGAAGAAGAAGAGTAAACCGATGAATATACTAAAGTGTATGTCACAGCTAGCAGTGGTTTCATAGCAGGTCCACCTTATCAGTAAGTAAACCCCTGAATATACTAAAGTTTATGTCACATGGTTTCATAGCAGGTCCACCATATCAGTAAGTAAACCGCTTAATATACTAAAGTATATCACAATTTCCAGCTGTTGCAAAACTCTGTGTGTGTAGTTACCTTCATATTAATTTCAGGGAATGCAGGTGTTGTTGGTAATGAGAGAGATGATAGACTGGCAGGTGCTGCATTATTTGAAGATGGCCGGCCCATAAATCACGCAGACATTGTCATAGATTGCCCTTAGAGAGAGGTGATAGACTGGCAGGTGCTGCATTATTTGAAGATGGCCGGCCCATAAATCACACAGACATTGTCATTGATTGCCCTTAGAGAGAGAGGACATTCGGAGGATTTTGGAAGCAACCTGTCCACACCACTGCTAAGAATATGTGAATTGGGAGTCATTATCAGCACAGCCAAGCATGAGAAGCACACCGGATGCACACAAAGTCTTGTTAACCAACACAGGACTGGTACTATTAATCGCATGACGCTGATGAATATGTTGAGAGAGGGGAATCTGAGCGCCTATGGATGTGTCCGGAGTGCTGTGAAGATAATCTAACTCATAACTCGAGGCTTCATTTGGGAGAATAAAGAATAGACCCAGACCCAATGCCAGCCCCTCACCAGCATGCTGCAGGAGTCAATAAGGGGTGTTTCCTTCAAAATCAGAGTACATCTGCCTGAGAGACAAGGAACCGACACTGTGCATACATATACACCAGATCTGTAGAACAGATGTACACCCACAATTTAAGCTCTGGATCAAGACAAAGGTCCAAGAGTGGATGAACAACCAGTACTTTCATCTGGAAGTTTTCAACTGCTTAAGGAGAAAAATAAACAACTGAATAAAGTCCAGGACACATCTTCCATAGCAGCTCTAATCCTTGACTATCTTGTGGCATTCCAGACCACCAGCAAACAAAAACAACTAAACTAAACTAAAGTTACCAGTACCTTGCAAACTTCCCAGACTTCCATCTCCAGACAAAATAATCTGACCATTCTGACCAAACGTAGCAGTCGTAAAAGTCTGCATGGTCTGGCCATCTGCCATCTCCACACTCACGGGATGGTTCACTTGGGATACAGTGGTCACCTCTTGCTGGTTGGCCGCTACTTCAGCCAGCGTCTGCACTGCCTGGTTGGCTTCCTGATTATGATCAGATAATATATCCTATTCACAAAATAATTAAAATACTATAACAAACTGGCAATCACATCATTTTTTTTTTGGCTTCTCTGATACTTCATTTTTGCTTCTTTGATATTTAATTTTTGCTTCTTTAATATTTCATTTTGCATCCTTGAAATTTTATTTAACATTTTTAATTTTTAATTTTTTTTGTTGCTACGCTGATATTTCACTTCTGCTTCTTTGATAATTCTTCTTCGTTTACATTCTCTATAGTTTAGTCCACCAGTGGAAACGTGACGTGACTGAAATTTCTGTAGCCTGTTGTTTAAGGGAAGAGGCAACGCAGTTCCCTACACAGTCTATGTCTGCTCCATTCTGAATGTTCAACAAATTCTGTTCCATCTAGCCACGATGAATGTAGGATTATAGCATAATTTCAGCTGAACATTCTTGATGCTTATGGGGTAAAAATCATAAGGATAAGAGGTCAGAGAGTCACCAAAACAGGCACTGAAATGAGAAACACCTGGACTCAGAAAACAAGTACATTCTACATGAACCCTTAAATGACACTGATGAGAGAGGCTAAAGGTGCTGGCTAGACTGGATTCCATTGGTGATATTCACAAGACTGCAGGACAAAATGGAGTGAACCCTAGCGAGCCCTATGTGGTGTAGATATGACATGACAAGATGATGATGACTGTTAATGTTTATTTCCCATTCTGTAAGCAGAACTACATCACACACTGAAAAAACATTTCAATTTTAGTGTAGTGTGTGTTTTAGGCTTGAGGTTAACCATCAGTTTATAACAAATACCCCCAGAAAGTTTTCCAGAGGATACCTCTATAAGTGTGCTAAAAGACGGCACTAAATGTGCTCCAATCTTTCTCTTTCCAATGATTTCTAGGCTTGGAGAGGTAAATGAGAGCATTGCAATACAGTCACCAAGGGCATGTACTTTGTACACCAGGACATCACACAGAGCGATAAACACCCGGTGACACAAAGTGCCAACACGGGGATGAGGATCACCCGTGGCGAGGTCCTGGAAACCCGGTTCAACCATTAGGTTATATTAGTTTAGGCCCCTGGCATGAGCCAAGAAATTGCATCCCACAAGGGGACAACGATTATATGTTACGTATATGGCACAGAGGTCTGGATAATAAACAAGCAATTAGTATATTTCTCTTCTTTTGTCCTATTGCTTATGCCATAAAGCATCACAGAAAGGAACAGAATAGTTTCCTGTCTTTTGCTGGTTGCGTAGCTTGTGTTAATGTCCTACAGCATTTTTGTAGTGTCTCTTTCACCCATCTCTTTCTTGGTCTGCCTCTTACCATATAGCCTGCTATTCTCATGAAGTACTCTGTAGCTACATGCCCAGTTAGAAATGAACAGGTAATAACAGGGATAGAAGCAGTTAACAAAGATAAGATGTCTCAGGAGAGCTGCCAGTGTGACAAGAAGAGATAAAATCAGGAATGAAGAAATTAGAAGAAGACTAGGACTGAAACCCAGTCATACAATTCATTAAAGACGAGAATGCCCTGGTACTTACTGCCACAGAGAGCCACGCTGAAGAAATACAATAAACAAATAGGAAAAAGTGCACACATGATCCTTAAATCTCCCCAACACCTTGCTGAGGTAAATAGTGGAAGGGTAGAAGAAAAAGAAGTAGCATTCAAAAAAAGATTTTTTTAAAAAATTTGAAAAAAAACCTGAAAAAACGATCAAATATATTTTCAGGGAACAAACATATTATATAAACAGATAAAGCACAGGACCTGAGTGAGCGAGTAGAAACATTTGCTGATATTATTAATGCCCTCAGAGAAATAGGAACGATAGAGACTTTAGGGGCAGTGAGTCCACATCACTTGCCAGAATCGCAGACTTGGAAATTAAGATCGGCATAGCAAAAAAACGAGATGCACACCAACATAGAACTCGTACTATTAGCCATCGGACGTTGGGGCTCATACTGAGGGGATGACCTGAGCACCTATGGACATGTCCGGAGTGCAATGATGATAACCCAACTAACTAACTAACTCACTAATTTGCAAAACAAGCTTCTTACTGTCATGCTGACGTGATGCGCACCGCTGACCGCGTGCACAACAGTGGCCTGTGTCCCATCCGGCAAGGTGACCACAGAGTTTCCGGGACCTGTATCGATGTGAATGATGGACACAGTCCCGTCAGGATTGTTGATCGTCTGCAGCATGGTGCCGGTAAACTGAGTGCTGGTCTGCACTGAGGGTGCTGAAACCTCATCACTGAATACATGCAGGAGGTCTTCTCGGCCATGATGCTTGTAGCATTCCTTCACGATAGTTCTCAATGCTTCTGTCCATGACACCTAAAGTTCCAGTTACAAGTTTTAAAACAGAAAAAAGTTAAAATTTTAAGTGAAGAAGTTGCACCGGATTATCCCGCACAGCTTGGCCTCTTTCTGTAGACTGGCTAGCTGTCTGTGTCACACAAAGAACAATGTTGTCCGATATACCTCAACCTCTCTCTGTAGAATGGCTAGCTGTCTGTGTCACACAAAGAACAATGTAATCCCAAAAACCTCGACCTTTCTCTGTAGAATGGCTAGCTGTCTGTGTCACACAAAGAACAATGTTATCCGATATACCTTGACCTTTCTCTGTAGACTGGCTAGATGTCTGTGTCACATAACAATCTCCCATTTCTGTCGGGTTGGGGGGGGGTCTGCTCCCTACTGAATATGTAGTAACTGTTTAACTGCATGTGGTGGGTCTAGAGGCCAAAAATACAATGCACCAACAGCCCTTTAAAAAAATATGCAGAAGAAGTATGTCTGCTAACATTGTTAGATTGGATACAGCTTTTGATATTAAGAAAGTACAAATCATGCTTCAGATTTTCCACACTTGAATATTTATTCTAATTTAAGATTTCCTAATTCAGTAAATTACTAAATGTAAAATTACACTGTAAAGTTTCCCAGAATAGGAAATGCTAAAATCTTTTTTTTTTTAAACAATGGACTATTCACAAAATTGAGATGGCCTGACCATCTAACAATGATCAACTGTCACAGAGAGCCATGCTGAAGAAAAATAATAAACACAGAGTAGGGGAAAACAAAAATTCTCAATAATGAAATGTCAAAGACAGTCACATAGCAGAGGAGGCTACTTGGATGTGAACTCTTGACCTTTAAATATGAGGTGGAGTTGCCAGCTCTCTTTCTCCTCACCTTTTCTCTCCAGACAATTCCCAGAAAATTCCAGAAATTGTCTGGTATCGTTTTCATGTTTGAAAGAGGCGAAGGTTCAAAAAGAGAGAGTCACCAATTTTTGGGGTCAGGTTATGAGAAGAGGGAAACTGGAACATACTGTGACCACAGGAAAGATCTATGGAAAGAAAGACAGAGGAAGACAATGTGAGAAGATACTTGACAGCCTTTTGTTATGGCATGGAGGGATGTCACTACACAAAGACATACTGTACACACAGTCGCTGACAGCAGATTCTGGAGAGGTATGATCGCCCATGCCAGTGGGCAAGGCATTTAGTGATGATGACGATAATCCTTTTTATAAGGTTTGGTCAACCCAAAACTCCTGCTGCTGCTTCTTTTTCTGCTTCTTCTTCTTCTTCTTGAGCATTTTGAACCCTTCAGGTTCACTGCTGCAGATATCACCTTTCCTTCAATCATCTCTGTGACTTGGCTTCTCTTTCCACTTGGTGCTCCAAATGTCCGCAGGTCTGCCTGTTTATTATCTCTCCACAATTTTCTTGTTCTGCCTCGTGGTTTTGCACCCATGAAGCAATTTTTTCCCTCCGTTTTGTAACATTCTCTACACACACCACAGCCATGACTGCCAGTCAGCCCTCATGATGCCAGTAATTAGTGACGGATCAAACACAGACTTTGTTACTGCTTATATTTCTCCATTCCCCATTGTTTGCACATTACTGATGGGCCCATAGATTCCTCATAAGACTGTTTTCACAAGATTTAAGAAAGAACTTTTATCATCAGCATGTAGCAGGTCTTTGCAGAATGTCGCTCTCATCACGATCTGCCCTTCATTTTTGGCTTCCATGATAAGTTTCTTGTGATAGTAATGTGGTAGTTTCCCCTTGCTTTCCACATCCACATGGCTTTAGACTACATACTCAGCCTTCAGCAACCTTTTCGATTGCTAGGGCAAGTGAGTGCCCTGCTCTGAGATGCTCCTGCTAACAGCAGAGGGCACCCCAGAGGTGTCCATTTATCCCGACGGATAATCGGTCCCCATAGCTGCGTTGGCCACACCACAGTGTGTTTATCCTCCTCTACAGCATAGAGGATGGTACAAAGGAACTGTACTGGTCAGAACAAAATCCTGCCAACTTCTTGGAACTGGGCTTTGGTAGTCAAGCATACTAGCTTCTAGTCATAAGTTGAAGTCCCAACTGCACTGGAGGTGGGTCACTCAATAATTGCTCCATTCCTGTGCCAGTGATACTGGTTGTTAATACAGCAATAAGAGATTAATATGGAAACGTTCGGCACAGACATATTGGGATAGTTCCTGCCTTACGAGGCTTATTTTCCAGATGTTGCACATCTGGGCACATTAATTATAAGAAAGAACCAGTTTTTTTTCTTTTATTTGTTATTGATTCAACTTCTTCCAAGTTCTAGGGCCCCACTGTGTGTGTGTGTGTGGGGGGGGGGGGGGGGGGGGAAGATCCACTGCCCCTAATAAGCATGTCGTAAAAGCCAACTAATTAGAGGTGTTCTCTCTCTCTCGATGTACCCCACCAAGACATCACATAAGTAATAAACACCCAGTGACACAAAGTGCCACCATGTGGATGAGGATCACCGTGGAGAGGTCCCAGAAAACCCCTTTCAGCTGTTATGGCCCCTGGCACATGCTGCAGTGCAAAAAAATTGCATCACACGAGGGGACGATTTGTAAGGGGTGTTTTCTTTAAAGTCAGAGTGCATCTGAAAGAGAGGTGAGGAACCAACAGTCTGCATACAAATAAACCATGGCTATAAAAATGTATATGCACATTAAACTCAAGTTCTGAAAACAAGACTCAAGTTCAACGAACAAACAACCAGAATGTTCAGCTGGAGTTTACAGCCGCCAAATGCACAAAAATAAAAAATAAATGAGACTGAATCGAACTACGCATACCCTTTTCTTCTCCTCATCGGTGCGGGCATCACTCCTGACATTAGCCCAAGGGAGATCATGAGGCCACCACATGGGCCGACACTCTGGTTTTCCCCAGCCAGGCTTGCTGCGACACGTTGAATACTTCAGCATTTCTGGGATAAAATTACGTAGCTGGGCCTAGGGAGAAATGATATTTTTACCCATTAGTTTTAGCAGCATCAAGAACCCAAGCACAACTAAAAGAGATGAAGCCTTATTACAGATTTTAGAAAACAGAGTCTTACGACGGATCTTTGGATCCATCAATGATGCAAACAGGAGGGAATGGAGAGTGAGAAGCAAAAATGAAACGCATAATCAGTTTAATGAGCATGATCCGGAGGGTTCGGTGCGAAGACAATGGCTTGAATCATTACAGAAGTCAATTGTGCGTGGAGTCACCTTTATTGTTGTTCCGGATGCGCAGGCGTCCATGGAAATGAAAGAACTGATAGGTTGGCTGGATCTGCTATTACTACCGATGGTCAGCCTATAGATCATGCTGATATTATAAATGCCTTCAGAGAAATGGGAGTGAATCCACATCACTCGCCAGAATGGCAGACTTGGGAATTAAGATCGGCATAGCAAAAAACAAGACGCACACCAGACGACTTGTTAATCAACATAGAACTGGTACTATTAGCCATCGGACGTTGGGGTTCATACTGAGGTAAGGATCTAAGCACCTATGGACATGTCAATGTGCAATGATGATAACCCAACTAACTAATCAGTTTAAATCACCACACTGATCACTGGCATCATGAGAGCTAATAGGCTGAAATGGTTGGGGCATATTGAAAGAATGTCAAATGACAGAGAAGTAAATAAAAACAGTTTACACAAGGAAGATGAATGGTCATAGACCACAAGGCAGACTAAGAAGAAGATGAAGAGATAATGTCCGGACAGACCTGCAAACACTTAGTGTCACCAAAGAGAAGGCCAACCAGAGAGATGAATGGAGGCAGGTGATATCTGCATCTTCCTCTTTAGTCCTGTGTCAACAAATCAGTGATAGCAGACCTGCAGAACTTAAGTCAACTTCTTTTCCATCTTCCTTTCTAGTCCTGTGTTGCCCTTCAACAAATCAGTGACAGCAGACCTGCAGAACTTAGTCAACTTCTTTTCCATCTTCCTTTCTAGTCCTGTGTTGCCCTTCAACGTCAGGTTTTGAACAGGCACTGGCTGACAGTGCTGGTCCATTTACCGTACCGAGGAGCACGCCACAAGACATTACTCCATATCCCTGTCTAGACAGATGGACATGAGGTGCAGCCTGGAGCTGCAAGAAATGAACATTTCACTAAGGGGACAAGACGTCTCATTAACCAACACAGAACAGGCGTCATCAGTCGTTTTATACTTGTGGAGCTTTTGAGGAGGAGAACGGAGCCACCTATGGATCAGTCGGGAGTGCTGTGATGTTTATCCTTTCTAAACACTAATCACTGGCTGATAGCTTTGGTATGTGCTACTTAGATGCTGTTACTAACAGTCTCGGATATTCCACCTATCCATCATTTGTGTGGTTGACCTCTGGTTCTACTTCCATTATGTCTAAGTGACAGGGCTCTCTGTAGTGCACAGTCTGGTGGTAGTCTTGATGCATGTCCAAAACATTTGATCTCTTTTGTCTCTTGATGTCATTTAATACTGGGTCTGTCCTAACTTCTGTCCTGATATCGTCATTTCTGATACTGTTTCTTATAGTAACATTTATGATTCGTCAAAGACATTTCATTTCTGTTGTTTCAATTTTAAAAATTTTGTTTTGTTGTTAATATCCAAGTACGGGCATTGACAACAAAATGTCAGTAAAAAATAGAGTATTTAATAGTATTCTTTTGGTGTCAAGTTGTTCCATGTTTGTTCTCCAAAACTGATGACATTTGTCCCATGATTTGATTTGCTTTTTACATCTGTGATCTAGGTCTGCTTCAATTCTTCCACTGGATGGCGCTGGGCTCCCTAGATACATGAGGTCTTTTGCTTCCTTTAGTTTTTTGTTTTGTTTTTTTAAGTGCTATATTAAATACTACCACAAACAGGGAAAATCCACAGGTCAAAGGACAGTCTAATATTTCAGGGGGTGGTAGATGGGCTGCATGCAGTTATGGGACCTAGGCTGCATGCATTTGTGGGACTTAGGCTGTACTCTCTCCTGGAACGTAGGTGGGTTGGGGTTAGGGCCAGTTCTAGACGTTTTGGGGTCATCAAAAGCATTAGAAAGCCGAGAAACCCAGTCTTACCACCCTCTAAAATGTTGGACTGTCCTGTGATGTCATCTAGGGTAGGATTTTAATAAAACAATTGGTTTTCTATTGCATATCTTAAATGATTATTCTGTTCTTGCAATTGTCATAACCTCTAGTGGGTTTTTTCAGAGTTACTTTTAGTGTTTTGTGCTTTTGCTACTGTGTTGAGATTATCCAGGTATCGCTACATCTTTTGTTAACTTGGTCAACAAGATGTTAAAAGCGAAAGCTCGCTAGCAATTAACTATAAAGTTTCACTATGGCTGATGTTTGAAGTACCTGAGTCATTTTATCAATTGGTGTTGGAATGCCATCAATAACAAGTGGAGGCAGCTCATGTAGGTGAGCTGTGTCCCCCTGATTATGGGCTGCTTGCTCCTGCAAGGCGTTCTCCAGTTCCGTGGTGACCACAGGCCGGCATGTCCGTATCTAAAGAAACAAAAGTGCCAGGTTAAAGTTGACCAGTGATGAGAGTTACCATACTAGTTCTGAGTGACAAATACCATGATTCTGTGGAGGGTAAATTCTTGGTAAGTAAAGAAGAAGAAAAGATTGGATGCATGCACCACGATTCTGTGGAGGGTAAATTCTTGGTAAGTAAAGAAGAAGAAATGAGTGGATGAATGCACCACAATACTGCAGAGGGTAAATTCTTGATAAGTACAGAAGAAATGAGTGGATGCATGCACCACAATACTGTGGAGGGTAAATTCTTGGTAAGTAAAGAAGAAGAAATGAGTGGATGCATGCACCACAATACTGTGGAGGGTAAATTCTTGGTAAGTAAAGAAGAAGAAATGAGTGGATGCATGCACCACGATACTGTGGAGGGTAAATTCTTGGTAAGTAAAGAAGAAGAAATGAGTGGATGCATGCACCACGATACTGTGGAGGGTAAATTCTTGGAAAGTAAAGAAGAAGAAATGATTGGATGCACATGTGCAAACTTATAAGCCCACACAAAAATTAAATAGTCTCCTTCAGCCATGACCCAATCATACAATGTTACAATGCTTTTTGTTGATTCTATTCTTCTCAGCTTGTTTCAGTAATCTTCTTTCAGTACAATTTCTACGAATATGAGTAGTTTACTATTATAGCTATAACTATTTTTAGCTGAGGAAATATACAATGTAAAGGAAGAATTTGAAAAAGTTTCAAGTATTTTCAAGACTGTAAATAGCAATCTGCCATGGTTAAAACAATAAAGTCACATCAACATTGTGTCAAGACAGTACAGTACAGGGTGGCAAGCACAGCTTCAGAGGTCATGGGTAATAAGCATCCTCTGGATATTTTCTCTAGGACTAGGTGTGTTGGGAAATGAACAGGCAGATGGAATGGCCAGTTCTGCACCACTGGGTGGTAAACTAATGCATTATAAGCTAAGATTTTCCCTGTGTACGTTCCAGGGCCCCTTTGTGTGGAAAACAAGAATAGACCCATTGCTTGTCCAAAAGCATGTCGTAGGAGTCGACTAACTGGAAGCTTTCTTCGAAGTAGGAGTATATCTGCCTGAAAGACAAGGAACCAGCAGTCTGCATACAAATAATCCAGATCCGTTATACAGATTACATGCAACATTCAGGTTCTGGAAACAGACTAAAGTTCTGAGGTAGCCAAATATCCATAAATTTCCGCCGATGTTTACAGGCAGTGGATGCAAAGAAGAAGAAAGCCGCTAAGGTTTCAAGGTAAAATAGCATACATACATAATTGGGACAACTAGTCATTTCTGATCGCTTCTCGGCCTTTTGGCTAAGATCAAAGTGTAGCTCTGCTGTACTTCTGTCCCGAACTCATGGGAGTAATTATCACGGCATGAGCCTTTCAAACTCGGAGCCGGGTGGTTTCCCCGTGAGGAGAGACTGGCCCGGCGGAAAAAAAAAAAGGTGACCCTCTACAATGAGGGTTTGCTGCAATGAAGCTTCAGTATGCTGTCTTTAGCCCTTGATGTACACTCTCTCATACTGCTGTTGATCCGCCTCTTGATGTTATCCTCCCAACTGCATCATTGTCTGCCACTTGCTTGCTTGTCTCGTCTTCAACTTTTCCCTCCAGTATAGTTTTTATCACAGTGTTATTCTTTTAACACGGCCCAAATATTTCAGCGTCTCCCCATGTAGGTTACAGAGCCCTATTTTAGGGAAAATAAAAACAAACCCACTGTCTCTTTACATGCCGTAAAAGTCTACTAAACTGGGAGCTTCCTTCGAAGTTGGAGTGCATCTGCCTGACAGGCAAGAAACCAACAGTCTGCATACAAATTAATCAGATTTGTCAAACGGATGCACACGCAACACTCAGTCTCTGAAACAGGGCTACAGTCCAGAAGTGGACAAACAACCAGAACTTTCCGCCGGAGTTTACAGCTGGTGAACGTGAAAAAGAAGATTTTAGTGTCTTTTTCATTTCTGCTAGCAACTCTGTTTTCATTTCTAGTCTCTTCAGAACCTCTGTTTTGATTCTTTTTGTTTCCATGAAATGCATAATATTTTTCTGTACATTCAATTCTACAGAGACTTAATATGATTTTTCTAATTGCTTGTATACTGTCCAAGTTTCTACATCATACAGCAGAGTTGAGTATATGTAACACATACCATTCCTCATCTTCTTTCATTCACTTGAAATAGATTATTTATATCTGCAATATTGTCTCTAATATAAATATAAATATATTTCACAAACATATTTATATCTCATTTATACATTTCATATATATGCCATTCTCATTTTTCATGTGTTTTTTACCTCTCTAGATGTCAATAATTATTTAAAATAACAATAACAATCAAACTGACCACATTTTCCAAAGGCTGTGATCCAAAAACCTTGTAGAGAGAGCTGAGAGTACCCGGTGTTCTGCCCGGGGTACAGCACAAGACCACAGCCTGCTGTCCAACTCTTGTTGTGTATTCCTCAATGGTGTTTTTCAGTTTTCTGTGAAGGCAAAATATATGAAGATATTAAATTAAGCTACAACCCAGTAAATGAAGCACTGAATCATAGGGGTACTGTAATGGAAGTGTCAACATTCAGTGTGATCCAATAATTATAGCATTTCTAGGGGTAAGAAAAAACCTGGTCATGTAATTTTCTCTCTCTTTTTCTTTAGTTGGTATATAATTGGTGTGTGTGTGTGTGTGTGTGTGCATTTGCGAGTGTGTACACTTTGACCCTTTTTCTGCATTTGAGATAAGCGACGTTAAACATCAAGTCCCATCTAGGTCACAAACAGGAGGGTACCTCTAAAGTTGCAAACAGGATGGTGTATCTTAGGTTGTCTTGCAACAGTTCTCTTGGACCAAATCCTCATCCTCGGCTGGGAGTATCTGAGGCAATTCTGCGGTACATGTAGTATCTGTTCCCAAACACAAGTGGCCGATTCTTGTATGCTTATTTTCTCCTGCCCATAATCAATTCAGTACAACAGAGTAATATCAAGTAAAGTAAAGGACCCTTTCCCCACCCTTCGGCGTGCTGGGCATACAGGGCTATACCTATATTTCATAGACCACTCGGCGAGTGATGCTGCCAGTCCCAGGACATTACCTGGTATCCATTCTAGGCTGGGTAAACCTGGGAACCAACATCATGGATGCATTCATTTTTTAAATGAAAATCCACATCAATTTGGATTTGAACCCATGACCTTTGGACCCGCAGGTGGATATCTATCTAGCCCATTGTCTAAAAACATCCACATCAATTTGTATTTGAACCCATGACCTTTGCACCCCTAGCTGAGTATCTAGCCCACTGCTAATATGCACTGTCTAAAAAATCTGACCTGAGAAGTCTTGTCTGCTGACGTTTTCTCCGGGACGGGTTAGTCTCAAACTGATGAGGGTGGCCCTTCTTCTTGCCTGTAGCAATTGCTGCTGCCGCTGCGATTCCAACAGGACCTTAAATTATGTTTAAAAAATTATTTTTTTTTACAATTCAACACTTTTTAGAAAAAATAATACCAAAGACCTGTAAAATTAGAATTTTAAGTCTTCCCAATAAAATATGGGTGCTTGAAACGTTGTCCGGCCCAGAAAGAGAGTGACTTCACTTGCCATTCATAACTCATCGTGTCGCAAGGCCTGTCCTATGTTGTGGAGGTGTCATGCTCAGTGACCAGCTAGCAACACGTAGTATTTTACTCGATGTCAGTGGCCGGCTATATCGTGTGTTCTATACTCCACGATATGGGTGCTTTTAACAGTCCCAAAACATCTAGAATGGGCCTTAACCCCCCCCTACCACACAGACTTAGCCTACATCCCATGAGAGAGTGCAGCTTACGTCCCACGACTGCATGCAGCCTATTATATACGTTGCATATAGTCACTCAGGTGACTAGTTCTTTACTGAGAAAACATGATAATATCTAGTTCTTTACTGAGAAAACATGATAACATAACTGCAAAGTTTGTGAAAAGGGTGGGGAGGACACAGTGGAGGCTACATGTGATGTTTTAGAATAAGACTGCCTGGTATGAGTTGTTTGAGGACCTATATTATAATGGTAAATTCCTTTGAAATCAGAATGCCAGAGGTGAGGCACCAACAGTTTGCATACAAATAAACCAGATCTCTAAAATGGATGTGCAAAACTCAAGTTCTGTAACAAGACTAAAGTCCAGAAGTTGTCGAATAACCAGAATATATACCAGAGTTTACACCCAGTGAACACAAAAAAGAAAAGAAGATAATGGTAGATAAAGGGAAGAAGAAGAAGAAGAAGAAAGAGGACATTATGCCTACCCGCAGCAGCCAACTGTGCTGTAACCTCATCAGTTATGGAGCTGTGCATCAAATCAGAGGCATCAAAGGTACTTTCTGGTGATGAAGGATTGTCGCTCATGTCATCCTCCATTATTCCATGGTTTATATGTGTACCACCAATGGTAATGCCACCCGCAATGGTGCCATGCACACCATTGCCAATCCCAGAGTTCATCATCTCTTTGCTTGATCTGGTCAGTCAGTCTCACGCAGTTTTGAGTACTGAAACACACACAAGAGACAATGTCATTTTAAAGCTTAACTCTGTTAGTCCTAAACAATGTATGATGTGTTACTGACTCATTCCCCACAAGTCTGAAACGTCACATCAAGTGTCTTCATTTAAGTTTTGGTCAATGTATACTAAATAAATCTGGCAACCACAGGGGTATCATTCATTCACCTTCATGCTGACAACACAACAAGTGGTTAGAGTTGTCATGGCAATATTTAATGGACAAAGAAAAGGATTTTTGTACAAAACCTTATGGAACCAAAAGAGGTAATCGTTAAAAAAAAGTATGTTGGTGTCTGCGGCTTAGAGGTATAAATAAAGTTTCATATTTCTGGCGTATTAAAATGGATTCAGTTGCCTGTGATTTGGCCGGAGATAACTTTGCACTGATTACAACAATGGTTTGTGTGTTGACCTGTTAGGAAGCCAATCAGTGGCCATCTCCACAGTGAAAGGAAACTGCAATGGATCGCCAACAAACTCGATCTCTTGTCTCTTTTCCCATAAAGCGGTGCATAGCTGGGTAAAAAAAAAAATTCTTAACTCTTTGAGTCCCAGGGGGTTTAGCATTACAGGCCCAGTGGGTAGTAAAGAAAGTAATAAAATCGGCGCATCTTGCGTTCATTGGGACTCAAAGAGTTAAAGACACTAAAATCATTGATGAAGTCTGATCTGGTAGTCCTGTTGATATTGCAACAGATGCATCCATGCAGCGGGTGAAGGAGATGATTAGAGGTGAAAAGCGAGTAACAAATGACACTGTAGCAGTTGCAATAGGGTGCTCACATGATTTAGTATGCAACATAATGCATGACCGATTGAAATTTGAGAAATTATGATCAAGGTGAGTACCCAGACAATTGACAGATGAACACAAAATAAGCCGATTAGGCCTGTCCTTGCAGCAAAATGCAGATGAAGGAGAAGACATGCTGAACAGGATAATTAGTGGGAATGAATCATAGGTGCATCACAACCAGCCTGAATCAAAGCGTGCTTCAGGGCAATAGAAACATTCTTCTTCGCATGATGTTCAAAAATTCAAGGTTACAACATCAACAGGGTCCCTGACTTAAGAATTTGCAGAAGTTGAATGTAAAGTGAAAATGTTTATAAAACAGAGCGCACAGTTATATGCAGCAGGTTTAGAAGGACTGATAAAACGATGGGACAAATGCATTTTTTTAAATTACCATTTGTGACTTACTTATTGACTTCTCTTCGGATTTAGACCCTGGTGATTTTTCAAGTGAAAAATGATCGCTGCGAAACCTTGTGGGCCTGAATGAGTTAACAATTATCAATTTTTTTAATCCAACATTTTTCTTACAATTATATTTTTCATTATTATCACATTTATTATTATTTTTTTCTTTTCTTTTGCAACAATCATCACCTTGTTACTCAACTTTTCTTTTCCCCTTGTGGGTTCTAGGCCCCATGAGGAGGGGGGGAGGGGGGGGGAATGGGCCCTGCCCCCTAACAAGCATATTATAAAATTTGATTCAGTATGCTAAACTGGATCTGTTGGGCACCTAAATGCAGTTATCATGGCTTACATGTAAACCACACTGTACTCAGGAAAATACAAAAGCAGAAGAAGAATCCTTGGTATACAAAATAGCATCATAACCTTTTAACTTTTAATACCTGTCATTTTTTTAAAGCTTAAGTTTTCTCTCATTTTTTTCTAATTTGTTTTTTATTATACACCAACAACACTGCCAGTTTCTGCAAACTCCTCTCTTTCCCCACAACTATAATCTTTTACTGTCTTTATCATCAGCTTGTTAATCATCATCATAGGCTAGTCAACCCTCCAGGGAAATGGGAGACAGATTTACAATTATACAGTTACTGGTACCACTGGAATTGGAACTCTTCGCTTGCTGCTGAAGATGGAGACGGAGCACATATGGGAGTGTCCTTGGTGCTGTGATGTCGATTCTTAATTCAAAACTCATCAGAGGTTAGTCAAAAACAGACTTAGCCCGGCTGTAAACTTTCTAAGGGATCTTAGCCTTGATTAAGTGTATAATGATACACATAATCCCCACCCCGATAAAAAAACCACCAGGTTATGGTTCCAGGACAGTAGCAGTGGTAACAGTTTAACCACTTGTGTCCTGTTCAAACCTTCTGGGTTACAATCACCGTAACGTCTTGTCTGAATGTCCGATAAGCGCAGCAGGAGATAGATAATCTGAGGCCTGAGAGTCATTGGCCAGGTCCCCCGTCCCATTCCTGAGATTGTCTAGGGAGGTAAACAGGCTGAAAGAATTGTTTAAAGGGGACACCAACTGAATATAGATAGACTCCTGCTGTGGAGTTTTTTTCATTGTTATAGGATACATAGGTTGTTTTTTTTTAAATATGTATCTTTGTTTTTTATATTAATAGTGCATAGATAATTGTGTGACTACTTTATTATTAGTATTCGGCTGTTATCATTTATTCCACCAGATCTACTAGGAGAGTTTTATTTCAATCATTATATAGATACTATATGGTTGCTATGATTATAATAATTATTTTTAGATTTCCATGTGTGGGTTCCGGGGCCCCATTGTGGGGAAAACAAGAACAGACCCACTGCCTACCCATGGCATGTCATATGAGTCGACTAACTGGGAGCAGCTTACTTTGAAGTTGGAGTACATCTGCCTGAGAGGCAAGGAACCCACAGTGTGAATGCAAATGAATCAGACCTCTGAAAGGGATGTGTACTAAATACTCAGTTCTTGGAACAGAACTAGAGTCCACAAGTGGATGAACAACCAGAACTTTCTGCCAGAGTTTACACTTGGTAAATGCAAAGAAGAAGAATATTAGATTCAGGTATTTTATTTAAGCTGAGTAAAGAACTGATATCAAAGCACTCAAGACATTCCATAAGTGCTCCATTCCCACTTTCAGCAGCCAGTGCAGAGTTACAATACTGATGGTAGCAGTAGCAGTCTGAATGTATGTCCATCCTGCCTTTCCCCTGAGTGCTGATCCGACCTCCTGGTCCCTCCCCGCTGCACCAATCTCTTCAGGGCTATGAGCATCTGTTTGTGCCTCGGCACTGTTCCCTCACTTCCAAAGGGCCTAGATAGCATTTAGCATATCATGCATCAATTTACCAACTAGTGGTGCAGAACAAGCCAATCCGTATGCCTGTTTGTTTTCTTGAACACTAGCATGCCCTGAAGACAGTATCCAAACGACACCAGCCACACAGGTCCTCTTAAGCGATGCTTGCCACTCTGCCCTGAGCATGTTCCCACCTTTCTGTTGTTATTGATCCAGCAGTGCATGAGCTTTTGCCCTCTGGCCCAATGCCATTTTTCATCTTTCTTAACATGCTCTGTGAGTCACTAACAAACAAGATGTATGTGGCCAGCTGGTTCTCAAGTCAGTGGAAGGCTATAATGATTATCTCCATCTCCCTTCTCACACTAACTATATGCTGTTAGACCTTGGATAGACCAAGCCAGGCTTTGTTGCAGTAAGGGTCACCCATTGGCTTTTGCTATGAACCCCCATGCACTCCTTCTGCCCCTCAACAAAGAGCATCTGTATAGATCATCACATTAACCTGGCCGGGAATTGGCATGAATCAGTTGGGCTGTTGAACCTCTGATTCGGCCGCACCCATTCACCAGTCCTCTTCTTTATTAAACAGTATATAGTTGCTAGTATTATCATTTTGTTTGCTTGAGTACTTTATTTATTAAACAGTATATAGTTGCTAGTATTATTATTTTGTTTGCTTGAGTACTTTATTTATTAAACAGTATATGGCTGCTCTGCTTTATTCTTGCAGATCTGTCATGAGGATATTTACTTTAATTATTAAACAGACATACTGGTTGTAAGTATTAATTATTTTAATAACTACTGTTGATTGTTTGGGTATAATTTGTCAAACAGTACACTGCTGTAATTCAATTTTTACAGATCTATAATTACATCATGGGAGGAAAAAAGGAAGGGGGGGGGGGGGAATATTTATTGTTACATAAACATTTATTCTAGCTGCTTTTATTTGTTTTGCCAAAACAAAAACTTTGGGATACTTTATTATATAGCATATGGTTCAGGGGGTTTAAACTGCTATTCTATTTGGTACTCCTGTCAAATCCGGACGAAGACTAAAAAGCCTTGGACGACTTAGTCAGAGTTCTCTCCCATGGCCGCACTCCAAACAGTGATCGGAAAAGCCACAACGAAACAAAGAAGACAGTGACGTCGACATCAGGGCTGCCAATGCTTGGTTGTTTCCCCCAGATCTGGGTTTTTTTTCGACGCTGCAGGACAAATCTGGTTTTTTTTTGGGTGTGTTTTGTTTGTTGGTTTTTGCCGATTTGTATGCTTTAATGATCGATAAATTTGCGTGGTTAGGGGTAGGGGTTAGGGCTAGGGAGTAGAATTAGGATTAGCGGTAGGGTTAAATTTAGCGTTATATTTGACAATTTTGACGCCGGAGTTCCCTATAATCGCGCACAGTCCCATACACACACAAACAATCGAGGGCCTCTGGATGCTAATCAAACGCACAATTCGCCAACGATTGGGGGCACCAGCCGCACGCTATTGGCGTCATATTTGGCAGAGTTTCAGTGGCGCCACTCCAACAAACATCTGATTGTCGGCCAGTATGTCGAAATCCTACGTCAAAATTTTCACATCTAACCCTAACCCTACCCCTAACCCTACCCCTACCCCTAACCCTACCCCTAACTCTAACCCAACAACCGCATGATGATGACTACACAACCATTCACAATGCCTCACGAAACCGTACGCAGCCCTACACGCAACCGCAGGATGATAGGTAAGTGTGTCGTTTATTTCGTTTGTTTTCCGATTACTGTTCGGAGTGCGGCCAAGGGAGAGAACTCTGACTAACTCGTCCACGGCTGTTTATTCTTCGTCCGGATTTGACAGGAGAGCCTTCT